CAGGTCATGATCCTGGAGTCCCTGGATCAAGTCCCGCATCGGGCTCCCTGCTCAGCAGGTAATCTGTTTCTCCCTCTGACCCTCCCCCCATCTCATGTGCTTTCTCTCTCTCTCATTCTCTCTCTCAAATAAATAAATAAAATCTTTTAAAAAAAAAGTTATCATGTTCCATGAATACCCTTTCCCAAGTAAATTCATTTCTACCTCTTTTTTAAAAATGAATACAAGAGTCAGGACACACTTGTCAAGGAAATTTATGAGTACAAAAAAATCTGTAAGACAACTTCAATCCAGAAGTATAACACAGTTTTAGGTCAATATCCTAAACTCAGACCACCTCAAGTAATTAGAAAAGAGTATGTGTTGTAGATATCTCATATCCACATTTATGTAGGTTAGTGCTTCCTTGGCTTTCATTGATGAGGCTACTAACAGAAATACTACCTATGGCTTCCTGCTTTTCCTCACAATCACACATCTCTAAATATGTATTTACTCACCTATGTGATAAACATTTACCTATTATTTGTGTGCCAGTACATGGGTGCCAAGAAGTATACAAAAATAAGTAAAACTTTTGTCTAGCCCTCCAAAAAAGCCTGTGGCCTCACTACTGATATACCAGTCCACGTCCTAAAAACTGCTTATTTACAAGTGTGTGTATATGTATGTGTGTAAAAAAGGGTCAGTATAGGTTGTTATGTTGAGGAAACCAACAATCCAAACATCTTTGTAACTTACAACAAAGATTTATTTCTTAGTCACTTATTATTTTATGTAACCTGTAAGAATCAGCTTCTAGCTTTGCTTCATGTGATCTTCATTCCAGGATCTAAGCTAAAAGAAAAAAATCCCACCTAAAATGTCCATCTCATAGACAGAGGGAAAAGAGACATGGCAAAATATGAGACAGCTCTTAAAGCTTCTGCTTGACATGACATATTATTGCCAGCAACATTTCATTGGCTCAAACAAATCACTTGGCTAATGAGGCAGTGATGTATAATCCTGTCACAGGGAACAGAGGCAAATATTCTAAACAATAACAGCATCTACCACAATATCTATCATGAAGATTAAAGAAAAGAAACATATTCAGATATTCAACCAATAATAAAAGTAGTGTTTATTTAGGTAAGGTTTACTATGTGCCAGACACTATTCTAATATTTATCAGTATTAAAATATTTAATTCTAAGAAGACTTCAACAAAGATGTCTACTACTGAAGAAAACAGACCAATTATGGGTATTTCTTAATGAGGAAAATAAGCAAAACAATGAAACCTATTAGAAGACATTTTAGGGGCGACTGGGTGGCTCAGTCGGTTAAGCGTCCAACTCTTGATCTCAGCTAAGATCTTATCTCAGGGTCAAGAGTTCAAGCCCTACCTTGAGCTCCACACTGGGGTGGAGACTACCTCAAAAAAAAAAAAGACACTTTAGAGATATTTCAAGCTCACTAAATTTGGCTTTGACATGGTTCAAAGAAAGCGAAAGTAGCTGCACTTCAGAAAGGAATTTATCCAGCTTATCTAAAGTAGAAGCCAACAACTGGTTTTAAATGTCTTAGATGTTTCTCAAATTTGGGCTAAGACAGTTTCCCAGCAAGGTGTAATATACACAGAACTCTTGTCAACCTTAGGACTGTCAACTTTAGCACATCTTACTCACTGGAGGTTCCTGGAGACTCATAATTTCATACTGGCTTATGTAATGCTGAAAAAGGAAATAAGGCAACACAACAGAGCCAGATATAGGAGCACAAAATAAGCCTCCCAAAAAAGATCCATACACTTAGTTCCCACCACATCATTAATACCCTGTGCAGACCCTAAGGTAATGAACTGTGTTTGAAGTAAACACAAGACTCAGTTCAAAATGAGAAGTGATAGGGCGCCTCGGTGGTTCAGTGGTTAAGCGTCTGCCCTCCGCTCAGGTCATGATCCCAGGGTCCTGGGATGGAGCCCGGGGCTCTCTGCTCAGTGGGGAGTCTGGTTCTCCCTCTCCCTCTGCCTGCAGCTCCCCCTGCTTGTGTCCTCTCTCTCATTCTCTCTCTGACAAATAAATAAATTAAATTAAATAAAAAACAATACGAGAAATGATGAAACAAGGCTAGATAAGTATACATGAATAGGTTAAAGAAAACAAAAACCAAAACCACTGTATCAAGCATGGAGTCTAAAGTACTGCTATTTTGAGACAGAGTACCATTTTATCTAGCTTTTAGATTAAAATCCTAAGTAGTTAAACTTACCCTGGACAATTCCACAGATAAGTCGGGGAAAGTAAGAATAAATGCAGGCCACTGATCCAGGTTTCCCCCCCTCTCACTCAATCCAGGTAAATGAGAAGCACGTGGAAACTAAGACACTCTAGAGCATGAGCTCAGTAACTAGATCAACTGAATCATCTACACTGTTTAAATAATTTTTCACCTTTATGTATGTTGTTGGGTTTTTTGGTTTGCTCTTGTTTTTTACTGATATACTATAGTTAATTTCATACAAGCTAATGTAACTGCATCTTTCCTTCTACTGATCTTTCTTCAATATTTGTTCACTACTCCCCTTCTTACCAACTGCCTAACTGATTTTACTCTCCCTAATTTTATTCAAGTGATCTGAAATGTTACATTATTTGCAAATGTTTTACAAGCATTACAATAAAATGAATTTTAGATTTAGATTATCCAATTAATTGGTTCTCTTTCCACCTACAAACTTTTCAGATCCTCATCACCTCCCAATCATAATGGAAAGAGAAAATTTATGGATGAAGAGCCAATACTATGTAAAAGAGAAGGGCTATAAATTTGCCTCAAGGTGAGTTGACCATAAGCTCTTCGGGTAAAAAAAAGTGTTACAGAAAACAAATAGGGGCACTTGACTGGCTTAGTCAGTAGAGCATGTGACTCTCGATCTCAGGATTGTGAGTTCAACCCCTTACTGGGTGTAGAGGTTACTTAATAAAATCTTCAGGGGGTGGCGAAGTTGGTTAAGTGTCTGACTCTCCCGTTTTGGCTCAGGTCGTGATCTCAGTAGTGATGGCAGGGAAGGATCGTGGGGCCCCCCGGGCTCCACGCTGAGACTCTTCCTCCCTCTCACTCTGCCCCTCCCCTCTCTAAAATAAATAAATCTTTTTTTTAATTAAAAATATCTTTTTCAAAAAGGCAAATAAGGGGGCACCTGGGTGGCTCAGCCGTTAGGCGTCTGCCTTCAGCTCGGGTCATGATCCCAGTGTCCTGGGATGGAGCCCGGAATCGAGCTCCCTGCTCAGTGGGAGGCCTGCTTCTCCCTCTCCCACGCCCCCTGCTTGTGTTCCTGCTCTCGCTCTCTCTCTGTCAAATAAATAAAATCTTAAAAAAAAAAAAAAAGGTCAAGTAAATGTGTCGTTTGACTTGTGTTTAAAATTTGTTTTCCTTGGCAAAGTTTTTTAATGTGTGAAACAAAGGTCACCCTTTATGATGTAATGTTTTATTTTCAAATCTCTTCAAACACATTTGCAAGCAGAAACTCTTCAAATTTGCATAAGTAGTACTAATTATCATCAGTTTCCAAAATCCAGTATCTTACTTCAACTACAACAATAGCTGACAAAATGGCTGTGACTTAAGCTTAAATACACAGTCATATCTTAATTAGCCATGCACCAGTGGACCCTTCAAATTTGTTTTGAGTTCTAGGGCTACTATGAATACATTACTTGGGAATGCAAAATTAATCTCCATAATGTCTAGAACAAGAACTAACCTGATCACCTCTCTTACAGCCTAAGTCAATCAGTGGGGCATTTTACTTAAAGAAGTACTTTCCATTCAAGTTCCCCATATGTAAAATAGTTAACAACAAACTTGTTTACATTTCCCCAATCTTAGCATCGTATTTTTCAAGACCTGTACATTATGTATATATCCACTATTGCCTTCGAAGCTTTTCATAAGCCACTGACCCAACCCAGAACATCCTCTCCTTCTCCCCACCCCTCAACACCCACTATTTAAAACCTTAATAAAACTTACCTCTAAAAATCCTTTCTAATTAACTCTAGTTCTAACTTTCTGCATTCCCTCTATTTTAATATAACACTAAATTAATTAGCATTTGACTAGACCAATTTTTAACCACCCCCATCTGTCCATACAGTCTTTTCATGTTACTCTAAGCACTTAGTGTAGTCTCCAGAGCATGCACAAAGATATTCAATATATGCCCTGGTTTCTAATACAGCGAAAATAGCGATAAAACATAATTATTCACAGATAAAAATACTAGTGTGTATGTCGTGTTAGTAACAAAGTCAGGAAAATTCGGAAAAACAGGGAAATCGAAAGTTAATGCAGTCGGAAAAAATCACTATCACAAAAACGCTTCAAAGCAGAACAATAACAGCAACAATTTCTGAATTATTGTGAAGCTTTAATAAAATTCTGGATAGGAAACTTGCCGACATTACCACCAGCCTTTTAAAAATTACCTTCCAGTATTACTAAAAGTGATATGTTCACTAACAATGAATTCCAACCAAGCAGTCTGATGAATAAAACAATCTTTCTGTAGAGAAACCCACCACTTAAAGCCGTGTTAAGGGACAGAGGGATTTAACATTCCAACAAGGACTGGGAGTGATGGACAAACAGGTGAAAAATGGAGGAGTTCGGAAAGTGGGGAGAAAAATCAGACTCCTCCCCTTCTTTGGGGGCTAGAGCTCGGCTCGCAGACCCGGAGACAACCCCACCCCACGGACCCTCTCTCACAGCAACAGTCCGAAAGCTTCCAAGAAACCATACGTCCTCCTTCCCCATCCCGGCATTCACGCCCCCACTCGCCTGGCCAGCGCCCCTGAATCGCAGCTAGTCCCAAATCCGCCTGCCCTCTCTGGAGGAAGGGGTCAGCAGAGAAAGCTTTCCCCGAGGCCTTCTCCGGGACCCAGCCAGCAGAGACCTCCGCAAAAGTGGAGAGACCCCAGAAGCTTGAAGAAGAAGCCTGACAATCCTGTTACCTGATAGGAACCCTGGAAACGGAAATGGCAGCTACAGCCACTGCTCTTTTCCCCCACAACATTTGCCTCAGCGCCTCTGACATTGAGACCGCCGCCATCTTGCTGCAGGCAAACGCCAGGACGGATCCCCGGAAGGGACAAACTTCCTTCGTTCTCAAGCCTCTGTAACCAGAGTGTAATACAGTGGGCTTTTGTTTACTTCATTTTTGTTTGGCGTTTAGAAAAGAGGTGAAAGGTTTGATTGACAGATAAGAAGGCAAATGAATGGAAGAAAATGCAGCAGAGCATTAAGTGTTAATATTACCTCCATAAATTGTAATCTTTGTTTGTTGTTAGGACTGGTTATTTAATGAAAAGACACCCCCACCCCAAAAGAAAAAAAAACTGGAAAATTTAAACACCTGCAACTCATAATTTTTTCAAAGGACTGAGTATATTTAGGGCCAAGCCCACCGGAAGAGCCATAGGGCTCTCTGGGTTTTTTAGAACCTAAAGTAGTACTTTTCCAAAGTGTTGCCAGATTCAGTACATAAGCCCTCAGGAAAGGACTGTATTCAGTTTGATGTTCTCTAGTTGTAACGATCATATTTTCTAATTTGGACACATGGCCTGGAAAAGGGTTATTTTTTTGACATATGGAGTTCAATGAAAAACTAATGGAACACAATATTTGATATCCTTGTCTTCCCAGTAGATTCTGAACGTACAATCATAATCTAAACACCAAGAATGTTATTAATGCTTCATACATATAAAACAAAAATTGTCTTCTGAGACCAGTGTTGGAAACATCTTTGTATTGTGGGCTACTTACCTTAAAAACGATTAACTGTGAATTATTTAAAATAAAAAGGTTAGTTGGGATGCTTGGGTGGATCAGTCTGTTAAGCATCTGCCTTAGGCTCAGGTCAGATCTTAGGGTCCTGGGATCAAGCCCCACTTTGGGCTCCTTGCTCAGCCGGGAATCTACTCCTCCCTCTTCCTCTGCCTCCAACCCCAATCACTGGCACTCACGCCTGTGCTCTCTCTCTCTCAAATAAATAAAATATTTTTTTTAAAAAAAAGTTTGTTTAAAAAAAATCAAAGAAGAGAAATGTACATGTACTATATTTATTGGGAAAAAAACAATCCATATATGAGTGGACTCACATAGTTCAAACCCATGTTGTTCAAGGTTCAACAGTACTGTTTCCATTCTTATAATTTTGACATTTCAAGAATGTTACATAAATTGACTCATGCAGTGTATGATTTTTTTAGATTGGCTTCTTACACTCAGCATAAGGCTCTTGAGAACCGTTCAAGTTAACGCGTGTATCAACAGTGCATTCCTTTTTATTGCTGAGTAGCGTTCCTAGTGTATTAGGATCCTCCAGAAAAGCAAAGCCAATAAGATACACGTATGGCCGTACCTATTTGTTTAACCATTCACCTACTGCAAAATATTTTGGTTGTTTCCCGTTTTTGGCTATTACAAATAAAACTGCTATGAACATTCGTGGGTTTTGTGTGTGTGTGTGTGTGTGTGTGTAGACATAAATTTTCATTTCTCTGGGATGTGTTCAAAAGCACAATGTGATATATGTATGTTTGTTTTTAAAGAAACTGCTTAACTCTTTTTCAAAGTAGCTATACCATCTTACATTCCTACCACCAATATGAGATACAGTTTCTCCTTATCCTCACCAGCAGTTGCTATTTCACTATTTTTGATTTTAGCTCAATCAACATTAATAATAGATGTGTCATGATAACTCATCATGGCCTTAATTTACATTCCCCTAATGGCTAATAATATCAAATATCTTTTCATGTGCTTATTTGTGTATATTCTATGTAGTTAAATATCTCATGTCTTTTGCTCATTGTCTAATTGCATTGTTTTTTTTTTTTTTTAAGATTTTATTTATTTATTTGAGAGAGAGAATGAAAGAAAGAGAGCACAAGAGGGGGGAGGGTCAGAGGGAGAAGCAGACTCCCTGCTGAGCAGGGAGCCCGATGCGGGGCTCGATCCCGGGACTCCAGGATCATGACCTGAGCCGAAGGCAGTTGCTTAACCAACTGAGCCACCCAGGCGCCCGCATTGTTTTTTACTGTTACATTTTGAGAGGTCTTTATATATCCCAGATATGAGTCCTTTATCAGATATGTGGTTTGCAAATATTTTCTCCTATCTGTAGCTTGTCTTTTCATCCTCTTAACAGGGTCTGTTGCTCAGTAAATGTATTAAATTTTGATGACATCCAGATTGATCATTTTTGAGTTCATAGATTGTACTTTTAGTGTCATATCCAAGTACTATTCACCAATCCTATGTCCTAAACATTTTCACCTATGTTTACTTCTAAAGTTTTTTTAGCGTTACCTTTTACAGTTAAGTCTATGGTCTTTTTTGAGTTAAGTTTTTAGTTAATAAGGTGTGAGGTTTATATCAAGATTCAATTTTTTATCTGTGGATATCCAGGTGCCTCAGCACTCTATTTAAAAAGATTATCTTTCGGGCGCCTGGGTGGCTCAGTTGGTTAAGCAACTGACTTCGGCTCAGGTCATGATCCTGGAGTCCCGCATCGGGCTCCCTGCTCAGCAGGGAGTCTGCTTCTCCCTCGGACCCTCCCCCCTTCTCATGCTCTATCTCATTCTCTCTCTCAAATAAATAAAAAAATAAATAAAAAATAAAAAGACTTTCTTCTATTGAATTGCTTTTGTACCTTTATCAAAAAATCAATTTGGCCATACTATTTCTGGGTTCTCTATTTCAGAGAGAATTTTAAGTCCTAGGGTAGTATTGATGTTGGGTTAAATTTTAATAAAGGTTTTTGGGTTTTTTTTAAGATTTTATTTATTTCAGGGCATCTGGATGGCTCAGTTGGTTAAGCGGCTGCCTTCAGCTCAGGTCATGATCCCAGAACGCCAGGCTCGAGCCCCACATTGGGTTCCCTGCTCAACGGGGAGTCTGCTTCTCCATTTGACCCTCCCCCCTCTTGTGTTCTCTCACCCTCTCTCTCTCAAATAAATGAATAAAATCTTTTTTAAAAAAAAGATTTTTTTTAAGATTTTATTTATTTCAGAGAGAGAGATAGTGAGAGCACAAGCAGGGAGGAGAGAGAGAGAGGCAGGCTCCCCACCAGCAGAGAACCCGATATAGGCCTCGATCCCAAGACCCTGAGATCATGACCTAAGCCGAAGGCAGATGCTTAACCGACTGAGTCACCCAGAGGCCCCTGGTATTTTATTTTTTAAGGAGTAACTTATGATCTGTCCCAATGTTCATCAGGTCAACTTACTGGAGCCTTGTTCCTGGTCCCATCGACCAAAACTCAACCTCTCCACCTACCACCTATTCTAGTCCCTCCCTTTTGTGAATTTGGAATCCAGAGGGAAGACTTCACTGGTCTGTTTCCCTTTCTACACAGCCTTTGATCCCAAATCAGAATTTGGGTATTGCTAACAATACACTCCTGTAGAATATCTGGATCTCTTGACCTTCTGCTGGGTACCCTCAGCTGTCCATAGCTGAAGTCCTTGCTGACCTCACATATAGGATATAGGCCTAAGAATGGAACAGAAATAACTTGCTATGTGCATTTATTTATTTAATTTTTTGACAATTTCACCTAACTATAGACTCTATCACTGAGCTTAATAAAATATCTAGGTCTAAATACCAGTTTGATATTTCAATAGGAGTATTAAAATTGACTTTACTGGGGCGCCTGGGTGGCTCAGTCGTTAGGCGTCTGCCTTCGGCTCAGGTCACGATCCCAGGGTCCTGGGATCAAGCCCCACATCGGGCTCCCTGCTTAGTGGGAGGCCTGCTTCTCCCTCTCCCACTCCCCCTGCTTGTGTTCCCTCTCTCACTGTGTCTCTCTCTGTCAAATAAATAAATAAAATCTTTAAAAAAATAAAATAAAATAAAATAAAATTGACTTTACTTTTTGCTTGCATTTCATGTATGGTGACCAAAATCCTTCTGAGCAGCTCATCATTGCTAACCAAAACAGCAATTTTTTTTTAAGATTTTATTATTTATTTGAGAGAGAGAGAGAGCACTCACACAAGCAGGGAGAGGGGCAGAGGGAGAGAGAGAAGCAGACTCCCCACCGAGCAGGGAGCCCAACTCAGGGCTTGATCCGACCCCAGGATCACGACCTAAGCAGAAGGCAGACGCTTAACAGACTGAGCCACCCGGCTGCCCCAACAAAACGGCAATCTAAGACACTTGTTTTACTACTGATTAGTACTCACTATCTAACTTTATCTGACTCCTCAGTAGTTTGGCATAGCTTTTAATTCACTGAGTATTTTTTTTTTTAATTCACTGAGTATCTTTAACCTCATTTCCCAAATGATATTCTGGGGAACACTACTTGTGAGAGACATTAACAGGTGCTCCTAAAAATTGCTTCCATATTACTAATATTCTAGACTTCGATATTCACAATATCCTTGGAGTACTTTTTTTTGTCCAGTTCTATTGAGATGTAATTGACATATAACATTTTGTAAATTCAAGGTGTAAAACATGAAGATTTTATATATGCACATATTGCAAAATGAGTACCACAATAAGGTTAGTTAACACATCCATCACCTCACATGGCTACCTTTGTGTGTATGTGTGTGTGGTGAGGATTTTTAAGATGTACTCTCAGCAACTTTCAAGTATACAATGCAGCAGTATTGTTAACGATAGTCACCATGCTATAAATTAGATCCCTGGAACTTATTTATATTATAACTGGAAGTTTGTACCCTTTGACTACCTTCACCCATTCCCTCCCCCAACTTCTCCCCACTTCTAATACCACCACCTCACCCCTGGAAACCACCTATCTATTCTGTTTCTATGAGTTCAGTTTTTTAGATTCCACATGTAAGTTAATAAGGCAGTTGTCCTTTTCTGTCTGACTTATTTCGTTTAGCATAATGTCCTCCGGTTTCATCCATTTTGTCACAAATGGTAGGATTTCCAACTTTTTAGTATCTGAATAATATTCTTATATATATATGTGTGTGTGTGTGTATATATACCACATTTTCTTTCTTTTTTCTTAAGATTTTTTTTTAATTTATTTATTTGACAGGGAGAGACACAGCTAGAGAGGGAACACAAGCAGGGGGAGT